AGATGCAGTAACCCTGTGGACCCCCTAGGGCGGGGGCCGGCAACCTGTTTTTCAAAAATGTATGAAATTATTATTTTTGTTGTTATAATATGGTGTGCAGGAGGTTAAAGAATTATGTTAGTTATGTTTTCTAATGCTGTAAACATTTGTATAATAAATATATTTAAAAAATAATTTCGTCATACCCATAGAGATCAGTGGTCATAACTTTTAATCAGTGTGTCGCGGTGCCAGGCAAAAAAAGCGGCTGGTGTGTCTCGGACCATGGATCCCAAAGGGAAAAAAAGGAAGACAGCTGATGAGAACAAAGGATTTAACGAAGAATGGAGCAAATATTTGCTTTCATTATCAATGTGGAAGGATTGCCTGCATGTTTGCTTTATAATGAGAGGTTGTCAAAAAAGAAAAAGAAAAATTTGGAAAGGCTTTTCCAGGGAAGGCTAAATATGCAGCCGAGCACCAAACTGGGAGTTAGAGAAAAAGTGCGAAAGCAGAACTTCTGGATAAATTAGAGGAGAGCAATTAATAGATTTAAGAAGTGGATTACGTCTCCAAACTCCACTACTGCTGCTAGTTTGGTTGCAAGCATAGAAAACCTTTCACAGAAGGAACAGGTAGCGCTCTGATGCAGCGATGGAAACCTTCTTCCATTTTTTCCCCAAATCCTAAAAATAAAAATCAAACCAAGGAACGATGGTGACAAATGATACAGGATTTCAGGGTTAGAGAGCTCTGCTCTGATGGATGTCAGTTCCTGCTTGGTTCCTCATGACTCAATCAGCTCCTCCCAACAGAAACACGTCCATCATAGTAAGATTCCTTTATCCTGTTTCTATAATTTCATCAATGCAACGAAACCTAAAATGTGCGTTGAATTCCACTGCTCCTCCCTCACCTCATGCTACTATGTGACATTTGCTCCACGATAAACAATGAATCATGAATGCTTGTTATATATTTAATCCCACATAGTCCTTTTCTATAGTAGAATAATATACTTAGAGCCCGTGTTACCATAAGAGGCATATTTAACACTTTTACATTTTTGCGGCTCCAGACAGATTTATTTTTTGTTTTTTTTTAGTCCAATATGTTTCTTTGAGCAGTTTGGGTTGCCGACCCCTGTTACAGACCTCCATTTTAGAGCATTGACAGTGGTTGACTTTTAAACTTCATTAAGGAATTAAATTGGCAGCCCCCTTAGTTGTAACAGGCTTCTTTTATGTTTGCTTTTTGTTGGCTTAATTCTAAGAACTGTAGTGCAGAAAACAAGCCATTTCTCAGCTCTGTCATAGAGCTACTATCATAGAATCTGCCTATATTCTGGTTTAGACCAATCAACATTTATAAACTAATTTATATAGACAGAGATTTATTTTATTCTGCACCACACCAGATATGAAAAATGATTAATTTGGATAAAAATGTTGTTACTATGACCTTTAACAAACAGTTTTACTCCTTTTACAAAATTTTAATGTTTTCTTGGTTCTTATTTTTAGTCATTGTAGTATCGCTCACTTTAAAACGAGTGAGAATGTGAAGACAAAACCACAGGTCATTCCATCTTAGAACATCGGTTTGAAAGCTTTTAACCACGTCGCAGAAAGGGCGTTCTGATGTGGAAATGTTTAAAATACTAATACGACAGGAGAGAGAAGAGGGGAACAGCAGAGTGAGGAGAGCCAACAACGTAAACAGACGAGCGCGGTGGAAGCATGTGGACAGACAAGCAGGAAGTTATAGCAGTCACTTCCAATTTCCGGGGCACTCTAACGCTGTTGGCCTGTGTCAAACCTTCAAACACACACACACACACAGGCCCAACAGTGTTCTGGTCTCTACATTAATCACAGACGCTGACAGGTAATCTGCTGAGGCGCTCTCTCCTTCTCCTTCCCTCCCTGCTTCTCTTTCTCTCTCTTCTCTCCTTGTTTTCTCTCTCTGCTCGTCTCTGAAAGCTGTCATAAAGGTTTGTAAAATGAACGATGGGTCTCCGGCCTCCTGTTCCTCATCCCTCTGTGCCTTGTTCCTTCGGCTGATCACTGCTGCCTTTTCACGTCGTCCCACAGCTCTGCGTATTCAGTCCATCCCTCCATCTGTGGCTCTTCCTCTTCTCCAGTCTCTTCTGTCACTTTAACACCGGATATTACAGCCTGTTTGTGTCTCTGGGTGATGAAAAACAGGCAGGCATCATTTCCTCTTTTGTGTTTTACTTGTTTTTTACTGGTAAATATAGTTGGACCTCTGAGAGCCGTTAAACGCAGCGAGACATTACTTTTCTTTTTCTGTGGAGCTTCACAGTTCTGTCAGACTTCAGTTTAAACCTGGTCTGGTAATCTGCTGTGGCTGGTCTCAGTGCAGGGATCTGATTATTCCTATTTGAGCCATCCCTAAATCTGCAGGTTCTGAATCCGACTTGTATCTGATCTTTGGTGAACGTGACTCCAGTGGAATCAACAGATTCCCCACTTTCCATCACATTTATCCCAATTTTGCCCCCAGAAGAGCCTAGTAGGGTTAGCAGCAAGATGGACGTCAGCTGTGACGTTGATTTATGGAGGTTTGCTAAATTGGAGGAAGATTGGAA